CAATGAATATGGCAAGGATTAGGACGTACTACATACAGGAAAACTTTCTTATGCACACCTGAGCGCTTTTCCTATAGTATTATTACTATTGAAGTTACTATGTGTATTTACTGTCTTAGTATTTCTCTATCAGCTTCTGTTTTACGAAGGCTTAAAGTGTTAGTTGTGAATTTGGCTGCGGCACGAAACGTTTGTAGTTAGATGTGAAAAAATTCTTCAAATTTTTGTAAATTTTCAAAAAATCGAAAAATGCTGGAAATTGTATAAAAAGCTCACAAATGTAAAACAATTCAAAAATTCGAACTACAAATTTTTTTCAAATTTTTTCAAAATTTTTGGTTTTGTGCGCGTTTCAGACAATTTCCTGCATTTCTTGATTTTTCGAAAATTTTGAAGAATTTGGATTTTTTAAAAAATTTCTCCACACTCTCTCTGCAAAAGTCGGTCTATGATGCCCTCGGTGTCTGTCTCACACTACTTCTGCGTGACTGGTTTCCTGGCACAATCGATGTCTGCATGACCCAGCCTCCGCCACACGGCCTCAGCAAGTTAGTCTGCCTCACCCGATCTCTGCTGTACTTTGTCACTGCCTCACTCGGTCTTCAGGAGCCGAGCATTGCATCGATGGCCCATCAGAGACCGGATGTTGCAGAGGCTGTGTGCGGCAGACACCACGTCCGTAAGAATGAGACCGGGTGCGGAACGAAACGGTTGGAGTTGAATGTGAAAAATTTCTTCAAATTTTTGAAAATTTTCAAATAACCGAAAAATGCTGGAAATTGTCTAAAAAGTGCACAAAATTAAAAAAATTCAAAAATTCGGAGTTCAAAATTTTTGGTTTTGTGCGCGTTTTAGACAATTTCCTGCATTTTTCGATTTTTCGAATTTTTTGAAAAATTTTGATATTTTATAATTTCTCCCCACACTATCTCTTCAAGACTCGTCAGAGGCCGTTAAAGGGGGAGACCGCGTCATCAGACGCCGGTTCCGTCATAGAGTGTTTCCGGTAACTATCAGTGTGTAAACTTTTTAAAAAGAATTTCAAATTCTTCAAAATTTTGAATAATTCAAAATGTTGGAAATTGTCTGAAAAGCGCACAAAACGAATAAATACTTTATGTAATACCACACTGGACATTATTAATTGCACAAGTGTTGGTGTATTATCTAAATTTAGTTGCTTAGTTGAGATTTCCGTTGTTGGTGTATGGTGAGCCGTGGTTGCATTGTTTGTGCCTGTGAACTTCAATGTTGCGTGGGTAATACTGTCAGTTTTTAGAAAGTGTGCTGGGTTTTAAATCATTCTGACCAACCAGTGTGATCATCTATTGCATATGAAATTTTACTTGGTTTCTGTTTATTGCGAGGTCAAATAACACATTGGCGTCGTTAGTGTTCTGTTCATTTATTATGTTTTGCTTTTTGCTAGTATTATACATTGGACTTTTCTAAAATGTCAAGCATTTTGCCTTTTGAGGGTATTTTTAATACGTCCATGATGTCTTCCGTGTGGCCGTATTCATGTCCGTGGTCAAGGATGTGATGAGCGTATTTCTATTTTGTTAAGTTGAATCTCATTACATGAACACACTCTTTAAATCTGGTTTCAAATTCCCTAGCGGTTTGGCCAATAGAGAGCTGCTCGCAGCAACTGCATTTTAATTGATATACACCACTTTTGTTGTATCTATCATCTTTTCTTTTTAAATTACATCGATACTTTATGGTATTATTGAACTTTAGGCTACTTTGACATTCGTGTTTTTTAATAATTTGGTAAGTGTTCTAATACTAGTGACAAAGAAGTTAATTAAGTTTTTTGTTTGTATGCATGATTTTACATATTTTACACTGCACGGTATGCAAGGTTTTAAAATTATGTCAACCACATCACTGAAGAAGTTCTAAATAATCTTGATGGGCATATTAAAACAATCTATAGGTTTAATAAAGGATCAAGGAAGATGTAAGATTTGAGGTTCTCACAACGGTGAGTATGAAGATTTCTGTCTTCTGGGTTGTTGCGCCGTGTAGTCTGGTCGATGTTAACCAACGTTTCAGAGGTCATACTGCCTCCATCACCAGAGCGATGAGTATGAAGATTTCTGTCTTCTGGGTTGTTGCGCTTTGTAGTCTGGTCGATGTTAACCAACGTTTCAGAGGTCATACTGCCTCCATCATCAGAGTATGAAGATTTCTGTCTTCTGGGTTGTTGCGCTATGTAGTCTGGTCGATGTTAACCAACGTTTCAGAGGTCATACTGCCTCCATCATCAGGGCGATGAGTATGAAGATTTCTGTCTTCTGGGTTGTTGCGCTGTGTAGTCAATGAAAGTATTTTTTTCTCAATTTGCAGTGAGAATTAAAGTCATGATTGGAATTTGCTGATTATCAGAATGACTCAATGTTTTGTAATCCATCATGGTCATACCATATGTAACCAGCCATAAGCCTATATACTGCCATTGTAACGTGTACATATTAAGTGTTCAGTTGGTTTCAGATTAGAGTTCAGGGCACAATTTTAGTGATCTCATCTGTGTGGACATTTTAAAATTACCTGTTTCAAAAGAAACAATTCACATTCCATGGTAAACATCGACTTCACATATTCATGTTCAAATATTATCAACATTATCAAAATACAAACAAAATTTTCAAACAAATGGCTGTTTGATCCACTGTATACTTTTATTATGCAAGGCAGCAAACGAGATTTGTAAGTGGACGATTACCACCGCCAAGGAATATCTGAATTTATATGCAACCCTGCAACTCCTACTGTCAACACAGACAACATAACTATCACTACCACAGTCATGTTACTGCCTCTTCCTTAGGTCCAAATAACAGCGGTAATAAGTTATTACACAAATTCTCTGGTATCAGAATCACTAACACAGAAGCCTCACACTGAATACAACCTTAAATAAGTTTAATCCAGTCAACATTACCAAAACCCAGTTTCCTAAAATCTGTTTCAATATATTCTTTCATGTTTCAAAAAGATACTTTCCAAGAGGTTGTCACATCAACGTCTTACGTGTGTTTCTTGATTCTACCACAATTTCTTGATAATTCTGTTTCTAAACACATGCAATTTACGTTCTTCCTTGTCGTTATTTTGTGACAACCCATTACAAGCCAAATAACTCAATGGATACAGACAAGCTTCACTTACCACTGTCTTAGAGGTAATAATCATAAACTGTGAAAATAATGCTGAATGCTGGTAACATAATCCTACTACAGGTTCAGCTGCCTCCATACCACCATCATGAGGAAAAATGGCATGACTCGATATTACAGTAGCACCATCTCTCAGACCTACAACACAACCACACACTTTCAAATCATAAAAAGTATGCATTTCAATTATGCTAGAGAGAAATCCAAACTTTTCAGAATACACAATAAAATTGCAGATGGTACAAATCGTTTACTGTTCCTGTTATATGTTTTTATAGACTGCGGCATGACCATGAAGCTGTGCCACTGCAACAGATAATACAACCTGCCATGCCAAATAAATGTGATAAAGATTGAATTAAATACATATGTATGAAGAATGTAATCTTTATCAACCATGTGTCATTCTTTACATCCAATCCAGCTAGCCATGCACTACTGTGACATATGTTAAACACTACGGTTAACGTTCCTTTGTTTGGGATGTTAAAACTATACTCAAATGATAGAGGTTATGTAACAAAATATGTCGCTGTCTTATTACCAATTAATAAAATGTTTCACCTTTATAGTGGCAGCCCCTATAATATATATACAGGACAATTACAAATTAGGTTACGAGTTTGAAGAGGCCGTGACAAGCAAACACAGGCAGTATTCGAAGCATTGGCTTTTCAAGTTTGCGCCCAATAGTTAATTAATTTCCCGCTGAACGGCGCTGTAGTAGTCAGTGCTGCCATGGATGTGTGTAGAAGAGAGGAGCGTTTTGCTAGCTGTTTGTGGTTGGAGACCTCAGTTAAGGCCGCCATTAGCGATGGAAGTTTCATCGCACCAGATATCCCAGAAACACGGCTTGGTATCCGTACGTAGCACGAGAAGTTTGCATACACTGCATGCGTCGTTCACAGAACGAAGGGCCAGGGTCGGCCTCGTGTATCCAATGGTGGCATTGAGAGAGTGCGTGAGCCGTGAACTGCACATGCCTCAACCGGCAATTTGGAAAATCTTACGTCAGCGTCTGAAAGTGAAGCCGCCGGCCGCCCACTGACAATATTTCCCTTCGCATCTTCTGCTCAGAAACTTTGGAACGTGATAACGACTTCTTGAACTCAATAATTTTTAGCGAAGTGTGCATTGTATTTATCTGGAAAAGGTTATCCGACAACATGTTAGAATTTGAGGAACGGAGCCATCGCGACACGAACGAGATAGTGCTAAGTTCAATGTTTTCTGTGCAATGAGCGAAGATCGAATATGCGGTCCTTACTTCGCGGAACGCACGGTTTCCGGCTTTTTCTCTCTATATGTGCTCGAGAATTACCATATGCCACAGCTGCAGGACATGGAGGGACAAGTGATCTTCCAGCAGGACGGCGCTCCTCCCCCATTTTCACACAGAACTGAGACAGTTCTTCCATACAACTTTCCCAAGAATGGATTGATTGGTCGAGGCGGTACTATCTCGTGGCTATCAAGGTCACCGGATCTTACTCCAATAGATTTCCACCTGTGGGGCTATGTCAAGGATCACATTTATGTTTTGCCTCACCCACAGACACTGGATTTGCTGAGAGACTGAATTGTTGCTACCGTGACCATTGTGGATAGAACCATGCTGCAGAGAAAGTGTGACAAGATTTCCTGCAGTTGGGATATTTGCTATGTTACCCAAGGGAACTACATCAAGCACCTGTAGATGAAGACTTAAGGTATGCACCATGCATCTATGTTTAGTTTACTGTGGATATTATCGATTGTGTTATTGCTATAGCCTCTTCAAAACGGTAACCTAATTTGTAACTTCCCTGCATTTACATATTGGAATAGGTTCCAGATGGCATGACTAGCAGCGAAATGGAACAGATACTTACCAACCAACTAACCAGATGTCTTATGGAACTTAAAGGTTCATCACCGAATTAACCAAAGCCCTCCACCGGACCCTGCCCTGGGCCAACAAAATCCAGTCTCCTTCAACTCCTATCTCTCATAGATCCCGCCTGAGATTATCCTCCCATCTACGTCTAGGTCTCCCCAGCGGTCTCTTCCCCTCAGGCTTCCCAAATAGTGGACCCAACCAACCAGATGGCTTATGAAACCCGAAGGTTCATCACCGAATTAACCAAAGCCCTCCACCGGACCCTGCCCTGGGCCAACAAAATCCAGTCTCCTTCAACTCCTATCTCTCATAGATCCCGCCTGAGATTATCCTCCCATCTACGTCTAGGTCTCCCCAGCGGTCTCTTCCCCTCAGGCTTCCCAAATAGTGGACCCAACCAACCAGATGGCTTATGAAACCCGAAGGTTCATCACCGAATTAACCAAAGCCCTCCACCGGACCCTGCCCTGGGCCAACAAAATCCAGTCTCCTTCAACTCCTATCTCTCATAGATCCCGCCTGAGATTATCCTCCCATCTACGTCTAGGTCTCCCCAGCGGTCTCTTCCCCTCAGGCTTCCCAACCAATACCCGGTGCACACCTCTTGTCCCATCCATGCGCGCTACATGCCCCGCCCATCTCATTCTTCTCGACTTAATCACCCTGACAATATTGGGGGAGGAGTACAGATTTTTAAGCTCGTCATTATGCAGTTTTCTCCACGCCCCATCGTCTTCTCTCCTAGGCCCAATTATCCTCCTCAACACCCGATTCTCAAACACCTGCAATCTGTGTTCCTCCCTCTGAGTGAGGGACCATGTTTCGCACCCGTACAAAACAAAAGGCAGAATTATTGTTTTGTATATTTTAATTTTCAGGTTCTTAGAAATCAGACGGGAAGACAAAATATTTTGAACTGAGTAGTAGCAAGCATTTCCAGAATTTAATCTCCTCCTAACTTCCTTGTGAATATTTTGATTTCTTATTGTTGTTCTCAACCCATGTGCCATGTCGTGGTGACGGACTGACCGAACATGGACTTGCTAACAGTATTGATAAATATAAGTCTACAACATAAAGACAGGCTCATTAAGAATTAAATAAGAGATAGCCAATTCACAGCAGTAAATAAATGACATGTACAGCTAATGTACAAGCTTGTACAATATTATTAGGTATTCAAATTGAATATCAAAATAGAATGGGGACCAGAAATAACTTAGGTGAGTAGCGTACAATATACAAAAGTAATGAGGACTAATATGACAATAAAATGGGAATTTGTGTCAACATAGGCAAATGTAACAGCCAACAGAATGAATAATGATAATCATGAACGCACTGAGAAACAAAACCAACCTAAGTGTATCAGTAACCTCGAGACATAGTATAGGTCAGCTCACCTAACCACAAAAAATCTAAATCCAAAATTTTAAAGGCTGAAAAGAAGAAGCCACTGGCACGAAGAAAGTGACCATGAATCATGACTAGGGACTGGCAAAGTAAAGAAATGTGGGAAGGATAAGGTAAATAAGGGTTGGTTAAGGAGTGAGGAATGGGGAAAGACGAGGGCTAGCTCCAGCGACTACTTAAATTGTTACAATAGATACATCACATAAATAGTTATATTCTCATTACAGTAATTGGCTGGTAAAACAGTATCAGATGGCACTGAAAATACATGAGTCTGGAACAATCCCATGCTGTACAGCTGCAGGATATATCCTCAAGTGACTTTCCTGCAAGTACAGAACACTAGCCTTGTAAGCCTGGGGTCCCGGGTTCAATTGCCGGTGGTGCTCAAATTTATAACTTGTGTTGGGCAAGGCCGTGGTCTAGGCAACACGGAGTTTTCCTCCGGGGGCTTCCCCGGTTTCTCCGTGGCATCCCAACAATTACTCCATTCACACACAGAAGAAGGCAATGGCAAACCACTTCTGGATCATCTACCAAGAATGTATATATGTATGAGCAGGTCCCTGACAACCTGAAGAGGTTGGAAGGATCCTGTTCATAATATATGGACCTGTCGTCAGACAGAACACTACAAATAAATAAAACATGATGACAGGAGTTCTGTTATGTCCACTCTTCTAAACCTCATCTCCAGTTCTCACGTAGTACCTTCCACACTTGTATGGGAGGGACAGACGCACTGTTAAGGGAGTTCCCTTCAGGGGTGAGAAATAGTAACTTCTGTGCTCTTACAACATCTCTCCACTGAAAGATTGCAAATTATTAGGGAAAAAGTGCATAGAAATAAGTCAGGAAACTACAGGGCTATTCAAAAAGATTGTCGGAGTTTTAAAAAATCACTTTACGTAGTACAATTGAGGTAGGAATACCAATCTTGTTTTATTGTGTAACAAAACTCTCAAAGTTTTTTTACATGAATTATAAATGCTCAATCTGTCAATCTGCAGACATCTACACGATAGTCCATTTCTTCCCAGACATGCCCCAGCGTGTCAGCGGTGATGTTCAGAATGGCGACTCTGATACGTACCTTCAGATCCGGGATAGTCGCAGGTAGAGGGAGGACAAATACTTGATCCTTCCCAAATTTCGTGTGGAAGTGCCGTTGGACAATGGTAACGGACCGACTTTGATGATATTCGAGAGCCTTCTTCTTACCGTTAGACGCCATATTGCAAAATCTGGCACCTGGCGGCCAATCGCGTAACTACTGGATGGCGGGCGGTACAGAACAAAACTTTGAGAGTTTCTCTATCCACCAGTGTAATGATAATTGTCGTATGTTTAATGCATTGCCCCACAAAAATTCACAAAACCCCGACAATCTTTTTGAATAGCCCAGTATATTATCCTTCACTGTGCATGCGACAGAGTTTATGCTTGGTCCAACTGGTCGTGCGTCATATTTGCATATCACTAACTTCCAAGTCCAGAGCTAACTAAAGTCTGGGTGTCAACCCCTATTCTACGACTATTTAAATCTGCGAAGCTAGAGCAGTGGACTATTAGCACTTGGGATGAAGATACCAACAGTAGCGGTGTCACAACAACAGAAAAGTTATACAGTGTGAACTATGACATTTATTTAAGGACTGAGCTTTGTAATCCAACAGAACGTTAATCAAAGAAATAATAATTTCTAACAGTGCACAGAATAAAACCAACTTTCATTTTCAAGAACCCAAGTTTAATTCCCGAATCCATTGAAATTTGGAAAATTTATTTTCCACTTTGAATTGATATTAATATTTTCCTTATAACACAGATGCTTAGTGAGATTCATAGAATGTAATTTGAAGTGTGCATTTGTGATATTTCAGGTTTTTACGGCAGTGAGAACGAAGACGAGTCCAAAGTTGTCCACAGGATAAAAGAAATGGCAGTCTTCCTTGGGGAAGGACCACAGACTTGACGTGTCTGTACAGAAGCATGCCGATTTAGATGAAGGTAATGCCGATAAACAGGATGGCGACTGAGACTGGTTTCTCCAGGGCTGGGGCTGAGACAGCCCCCTCCGATGGGCTGAGATCATCGGATCGGCCAGTCGCCGTAGCCATTCTACCTGAAAGTGGCCCTGAGAATCTCCAGTTTTCCCAGTCACCAAATATGTTGCTGCGTGCACCAGCGTGAAAAGTGCAACCTCATTGTTAGAAAGGTTGTGGGAGGTGAAAGTGACATAGGGGTTACTGTGGTGGGGGTTTACGTTAGAATTTGTGACCCTGCAGGAATCCCTACATGATGGCATGGAGTTTCTCAGGACCACCTTCGGGCACAAAAGTTGCTGTAACCATCGGATAGGTCACCACAGGATTAGCAGTCTGCTGACGAGGCACAACGGTGAGTCTGTGGGTCTTCTACAACATCAAGCCCTGCAAATATGGTCAACCCTGCACTGTGAAGACGGGCCATTCCAATGAGACCAGGGCAAGGAACAAAATAGTTCACTGTGGTCTGCTCCTTCTCCCGATAGCTTCCTTGCTCTCTCTTTCCTACTCTGTTCCAGAATTGGTATTGCTTGCTCACTGCCATGAAGATGGAGGCAGTAAGCGTTCTGAAGCATCAGACAACTTCTGTGTATGGCTTCATCCCCAAAGACAGTCATCAAAGTTAAAATTTGTTAACTGAATACACTTTTACATTGGCAGTGCTTAGGGTCTCATTATCAATCTTTGGATACAAGAAGCAGGAAAGCTTTTCAGTAGCGCCATCCAATTTTACATAATTTCACAACTGATAATTCCACGTCTTCATTCAAGTCCTGCTCTAATGGCCTTTTGACGACCTTCTCTATCCTAAAATTCACGCTTCGACCGCGCAATGCGTGCATCACGGAATGCGTGTTGTACTTGGAATCTAATTTTCTCCTCTTGCATCTCTTTGAATCTCTCTTTCAAACATTTCACTTCAATAACTTTTCTTTCTATTGTCGAGTACAATTTTTTCATGTCATTCGCTTGCGCTGAAATCTCCTTCACCTTGAAAATGAACAGCAGTTACATAAATGATTCGTATATTTTGCATTTTGAATGACTTAATGCATTTAAAGTTGTCTGCGTCATTGAGTGCACTAAAACTTCGTATGTTGACGGTGTTTCAATTAACCAGTCCCATAATGCCGTGATAAAGTAAATTCAACTGATATCGTGTAAGGTTTATCAGGTTAACTGCTCTGATTAATCAGGACTGTCAGTGCATTTAATAGAATAAACCAAAGCTTAAAAACGAAATTTGGAAGTCTTGATTGGCTTTTTGTGGTTTTGTTCAGTCTCTCCAGACAAATGCCAGGTTAGACCTTGAAACACGCTATGCCACTTTATTTCAAATGTCTTAACTACCCACCATTTATAAGCTTCTTCACATATCTAAAATCATTAAACTTTTAAGGACAAGAATTTGCATTGCTGACATATCACACAACCCGTCCGTTCGGTCGTCAGCCGTTGCCGGCTTACTAGCTCTCGCAACTGTTCATTCTTATTACGGGCGGCTGTTGGTGATGCCCGGAGGACGAGCACCTCATCCCGCTACACAAGAAAGAAGATACACATTCTTTAGGCAGTGTTGCGAAACCTTTGGCCTTTAAGCAAACGGATACATGTGAGTTTCAGAATGTACAGGCCTACTGGTGATTCTGTCTGCTGTTATGTGAGATGAAGAAAGCATCTAGTAAAATACTTGGAACGATGATTGATAAAGTTCATGTTCATGTACTTGTAGCAAAAGCCTACAAAATGAATACTCAATTTTGGTGGGAAACATGGGAACATAGGTATGAGTACCTATGCAGATGCAGAAAGGAATAAATAAGAAATGTTTTAATGGCTCAACGGAACCAAAGCTGTGAATGGTTATTTAAACCTTCAAAGATGCGGAATGAACCAGTATTGACTTATTTTAAGGATGTATCTCATCGCTTTCCTGGACAGGATGATAAAAAAGGGGAGGAGACTATAACAAACGCACAAACAAACAACCAAAGAATGATATTCCTGATCTCCGGCCAAAGAATCGAACCAGGACCAATGCAAGACGACAGAAGTTCACTCTCAAGCTTATGGTGACTTTTTACAGGAATGATTATAACGAATGAGGAGGGACTGGACAGAAACCTGTTTTTGTTTCTCACCACCAAACGTCCTGTTAAGCAGATAACAGGTGACCTCTTCCTGCAGTAAGTGACCAGTGGGTGGAAGGCACCGGTCACCCGCAGGTAGCGCCGACTTTAAGAATACGTGGAAATTTACCTCCACGCCCCATGTATGTCTTCTTGGTGTGGTGCTTAGCCACACAAAGACAACAAATTCATGTCTGTTTTACCTCTTACATTTAAGTGACAGATGCTGTCATTACAAGGAATTCTGCTCAAGACATGAAATTACAAAAATCTTTGGACTGCACTTATTACTTACAGCTGCTTTGCTGACTTATTCCAAGGATTTAGCTCTGTCCTGCGCCTCCTTCATGTGGTTCTCAGCTGATTTCAGCTGTACCTGAGTAGCCTGCTGTTCAGTCAGAGCTCAGCTTCTTGCCCATTGTGTTTTGATTCTGCAGATAAGCGCAGACAGAACAGGTCCAGGGATGGCCAAATTAGTGATCAGATTATGCAGAACGTACAACACACAAGAGAAGTGGTTTAGTACGGAAACATCTTAATTACAAAGGGACGTGACAGTTATAAAATGCAAATGCCGTGGCATTAATAGACGTCACGTCACTCGCTACATGTTCAGCAGAATTCAATGGTTACCGCCATTATCAACACTTTTGCATTCAACGTCAGGTGTGCTGGAAGCTTGTTGGAGCATCGCTGGTGTTGACGATGCAGCGATTCTTGCCTTTTAACTCAGAAACACAGTGCATGTGTATGTGCTAAGCTGTTCTTTCACAAAAGCCTGAAACATGTTATCAGATGTGGCTGATCAAGTGTGGACATCTGAGAGGCCAGGAGAGGGGTCCAATTTGGTCCACTCGACAGTGGAAATTGGTTATTAATAAAAGCATGCACATCACCAGCATAATGTGCCTGAGCCGTGTATTGTTGCAGAATTACGCTTTTAAGAAGATCCACATTCTCAAGATCTGTAATTAGCCAATTGGACGACAGCTTCAGATAATAAAATCTCAGGCTATCGGCCGCATCAAGTGGTTAAAACACGAAAAGACCAACATTTTGAGGTCCATCTCTGTCCTCGTCCTCAGGGTACTGAAGTGGTTGGGGCTCTCCACCGTATCATATATATATATACCTGCTCCAGCCCCGTGTGACTGGTGGATGACATCACGAGCTTGCCTTGTTATGCTCAGCTTACTGGTTAGACAACATATTCAACACAGGAAACCAGTCCCGGCTTAGCATAAAACCTCCGTCTTTGTTGATATTTGCGGTATTCAATCGGATTTCAGTTGCCTACTTTTAGTAGTCTCTGACACATTAAAGAAAAATGGTCCAATGATCACTTCACTCGTGGTGACTCCAGCCCATATCATGACACGAGGTGGACGCTATGTTACTTCAGAGGAATGTGGATATTGTTTAGCCCACATATAAATATTTCACAAACTTGCCCTGAGATGTACCACAAGCATTCATCAGTAACAGAGCATTGCAGCAGGATGCTAAGGTTGGAAAGCTATGCAGTAAAGTTGCACAAGCCACGTGTCCATGTTATGATCACATATTTCACTCATAAATGTGAGCTGATACTTTCTTCCTATTCAGTGCTATCTGCTGATTTTTTACCGCTCGTGATTTTATTTATTTTGTATCCAAATACACACCATTCGAAGTATAAATCATTAAATAGAGTAATATTAATAAAATAGAAATAAAAAAAAAGGAAGTTGAGGAAAATTTAGTATAGAATAAATATAAAGGTAAATTTACAACAAAACTATATTTTAATCCAATATCGGGCATGAAGAATGGCAGTGTCTGTACGTGTAGCCAAATCTTCGCTTGTGCAGGGAGAATCTAAGATGGGGCAAGCCAGGAGGTGATCCATTGTCTGTGTTTGTCCACAGGAACACTGGTCAGACACACAAGGATATCCCCACCTTATTAGGTTTGCCGCACACCTGCCAGTATAGGAACGGAGTCTGTTTAAAGTTTTCCAGGTAGGCCAGTCTAATTCAGAACCTGGAGGAAGGACTTCCTTGGGCTCTAGACCCTGAAGGTCCTGAGTGTCTATTTCACCACTTCTTATTTTCCATAGCTTGGTTCTTTCATCTTTCTGGTTCCCCTGGAGTGGTGAGGTTCCTTCTAGATTTGAGTCTTTGGTTTGGGAGAATTTGCCCATGTAAGGGGTGTCTTGGGTCTTCCATTTGCTTTCTTCTTTGGCACGGACATCTCTTCTGGTATCTGGTGGAGCAATTCCAGAAAGGAGGTAGAGTTGTCAATCCTTGTAGGCCTAAGGCAGCCAGTAATGTGTCGGCAACTCTGATTCAGGGCATTGTCCAGTTTTGAGGTATGACATGACCTTCCCCAGACAGGGCTGGCATACTCAGCAACAGTAAAACAAAGTGACAAAGCTGTGGTGCGTAGCACATGAGCATTGGCTCCCCATTTTGTAGTTTTTAGCCTCTCTGTAAGATGCCATTACGAGTGTTGACCTTAGCTTTGGTCTTTTCAATATGTTTTTTGTAGGTGAGTGTGCAGTCAAGTGTAACACCGAGATAAACTGGGTTGTGGCAGTTGGTTAGTTTATTTCGACCCCACTAGCTGGTAGTTTGCTCTCCTGTTATTTAGATGAAAAAGGTTTTTGAAGACTTGGCCTAGAGTTTATTTGCTTGGTAATAATCTGTCAATGATTTGAGTGCTAGTCTCAAAGTATTTTCTATTGTTTGAAAATTTTTAGATTGAGTGGCCACGGCTAAATCATCTGCATAAATAAAACTTCGTGTTTCAGAGGCTATTGGTTGGTCATTTGTATAGATGTTAAAGAGTAATGAGGCTAAAACACTTCCCTGGGGAAGGCCATTTCTTTGCGTGCGCCATTTGCTTCTCTTCCCACGTAGGTTGACATAAAAGCGCCGATTTTCCAGTAGAGATCTGGAGAGCTCAATTAGTTTGTAATCAAGTGTATGTTGGTATATTTTGTTAAGGAGTGATCTATGATTGACTGTATCATATGCTGCTGTTAGGTCAACAAAGACCACCCCAGTCGCCTGTACGGTCTCAAAACCATTTTCAATAAATTGAGTTCGATTGAGAATTTGACTAGTACACGATTTCCCTGGTCTGAAGCCCGCTTCTTCTGGAATAAGGTGATCTTCAGCTCTTTCCTTCTTCCAGTGTCTCAGTGTGGACAGATCTTCGCCACGTCTGCCTGGGTCTCCCTCTCTTCCTTCTCCCCTGCAGATTCCAGTCCAAGACCTCTCTATGACTTATGTCTGTAATGTACAAATTACTTTGTGCAAGATCTTCCTTCAGTAGTATATAGTAATTTTACTGATAGAGAAATTACCTCTATGTTACAGAACCTGAAGGTTTTTCACTGCATTTACAAATAGCTTTACTGTAATCATGAATATCATATTTTATCATATCCAAACTTCATACGTAACACAATCTTCTATGTAATCTCTCTAATGCTGTACATCTCTGGACCTTTTGGCATTTCCACCCAATTCTGGACATTTTCCTTCACACTGTGTTTATAAATACCTACAGTTTAACTCAGACTAAACTGTTATGTTTTACAGCAACAAAATGGGCAAAATAAGTCAAATGATCAGGTTTTAAACTTGACACATCCATGGTCAGACATAAATAGTTCATTTTTTGTTAAACTATTTCTCTTTTTCTAACATTAGTTAACCCATGTTTCTTACCACAGTTATGTACAGTTGCTTCCGAATCATTTTGGATGGCATACACGAGAAACATTAAACTACTGATGCACCACCCCATTTCTCCGTGCTCAGTAATATACTCGTAATGTCAGTCTGTTGTAAAAACATAGTTGTTACTAGAACATCAATGTCATTAGACACAAAACTATGTCTCACCGGCCACCAGTTATTTTCATCCGCCATAACTTTCTAATCGACAAATGTAACAAACCTAGTGTTACTGTTCCTACACTGACTCATTTATGACTGACTGACTCTTTAAATGATTACTGAGGATGACAGCAGAAGACTCTTATGGAACAGAATTTATTTAATTTAACCATGATGCGTATATAGCTTCAAGATATTTCGTTGAACAAAATACGTATTCTCTAAAAACTGCCATACTGAGAAGTACAGCATAATTAGATCAATATTTCTGTGGTTTCTAATGTCATGTTACCTGTAACTGTGTCACTGGCATTTGAGTTGGCTTCAACTGCCCCTGTGGGAGTAAAGGGGACTATTTATTCTCCTGAAATCAGTTACATCACTCCCCTCCACTGGGTCCACATATTCACCAGTTGAGTTCGGTACTCTGCCTTGCGGACTATCGCGTCTTGAGTACTCTTCCACAACGCTTTCTTGAAGTAAAAACTTAAGCAGTTTTCAATTTACATTCTTTGCTTTCTTATAAGCCCCCAGAGGTTGTACTGTTCATTTATTGCACATATGAACATGCTGCTCCATAGGCAAATAGTCCTTCCTCTTTCTATTGCATAGTCACATCAAAAAGTGTAATATAAAATGGCGATTAATTAGACAAATGCGGCAGGAAATTAAATTTGCCCAACAGCGTTCAGTGAATTCACATCAAATACCAAATTTCATTGAAATCATTCAATACTTCCACAAACGAAACTTGCAGTGAGCATGCACACTCTGATTACCGACAGTGCTCTACTTTACAACATGGAAAGTTGGCACAGACTTGGAGATTCTCACCAGTTCTTCAGCTAATTTTTTCTTCACTGCAGAATGGTGGCTTAGCTTAATGAGCATCAGACTCAGTTTTCACTAACTTGTATTTCATCAGGCTTTCCAACATCTCTGTCTTTGCTTTATCATTTCCTCAGAGTTTATTACCGGTGGATTTCCTACACCAAAATCCTGCGGGATAGGAGTGTAAAATTTGTTTGAGGCACCAATGAAATGCATATCAGATCAGCCATGCTTACTCGTACCTTGCACACAGAAGATATGGTACAGCGTGTTTTCATTTCTCCCTGAATCTCACGTCTTCCTTTACTCAAGTTCAGGCTCGATGAACATTGTAACATCATAACATGGAAAGTTTGGACGGACTTGGAGATTCTCACCAGTTCTTTAGCTAATTTTTTCTTCAGAATGGTGGCTTAGCATAATGAGCATCAGACTCAGTTTTCACTAACTTGTATTCCATCAGGCTGTCCAACATCTCTGTCTTTGCTTTAACATTTCCTCAGAGTTTATTACTGGTGGATTTTCTACACCGAAATCCTGCGGGATAGGAGTGTAAAATTTGTTTGAGGCACCAATGAAATGGATATCAGATCCACCATGCTTCCTCGTACCTTGCACACAGAAGATATGGTACAGCGTGTTTTCATTTCTCCCTGAATCTCACGTCTTCCATTACTCAAGTTCAGGCTCGATGAACATTGTAATATAATAACATTGAAAGTTGGAACGGACTTGGAGATTCTCACCAGTTCTTCAGGTAATTCTTTCTTCACTGCAGGCTTAATGCGTCCTCGTACCTCGCACACAGAAGTTATGGTACAACGTGTTTTCATTTCTCCCTGAATCTCACGTCTTCCATTACTCAAGTTCAGGCTCGATGTACATTGTAATATAATAACATTGAAAGTTGGCACAGACTTGGAGATTCTCACCAGTTCTTTAGGTAATTCCATGTTCACATGGGGGCTTCCTGCTTCTTGGTATCTTGCACGTAAATGATTCGGTACCACATGTTCGCATTTCTCTCCTCATTTCACTGTTGCCTTTACCCGATTTCAGGCTAAGCATACCAACTGAAAGAAATAAAATTTGTAGGATAGAAGAAATCAGTTACCAAATTCCCTATCCTTAAGCAAGCCATGAAGATGTATGTGGGAATAAAGGTAAAGCTCCATGCATTCTAATACTGGCAGTAGGCAGAGGTGATTGGTAAACTTCATGCTCTGTTCCCATTACCTCTTGGAGAAAGTAATTCATTTCTCTTTCAGTGAGTTTTCTCCATGCTTTTCAAACTTTTTTTTCATAGACTTGTAGTTAGTTACCATTCTCTCTTGGGAAAGTTATCACCTCAGTCTTTACACTTTTACCCACATAATCGTGGTTTTACATTTCTCTGTAATGACCTACAAGCATGCCTGGCCTCACAACCCATGTTAAACATCGTTATTTCAATGCCAGGGTCCCTCAGATATATGTATATTCTGACACCAGAGAGTGCTGGCTGTTAAGGGCCACAGTATAATATGAGCATGTCCAGAAATATCCATGGACCTCATCCTTCAGTATATTCGTCATCCACCCACATATGAACATTGTTCTTGGATCGCAGTGAACTTCGGTATATTCAACACGTTTTTTAATGACAAGATAAACAGAAAAACATTCCAGGTGTTGTAAAAAAGTATTATGCAGAAGAAAGGAAAACCAGAGTTTGGATAGAATACTGGTTACAGGACAGTGCAAAGAGTCACATCGAGTTTTATTGAAATATTTGGAGCATACGATTTCAACATTTATTTCAGCGTGGACAAGGCAGCATTTTACATAGTGTTCATCCAATGTTTGATAAACTTCAATAAATTCTCCCCAGAACATTTGAACATTACTACATTTCATTTGTAATTAGTTTTTTTTTTGTTTTAATGTGACTCTCATCCCACAAATGTGTAATGTTATTATCAACTGTAATAAAATGAAAAGGATGTACCTGTGGCAGTCTATAATTGCATAACTTCCATACCAAACTCCATAAAAACCTCTCCAGCAGTTCTTGAGTTCAAATATGTAAACAGACAGACACACGACAGCCGTGTATGTTCCCATCTTGAGCACTTCATGACTGAATCGATGAAGACGAGATGGTAGCTTGCATGGGGACAACTTGGGAGGGTTCTGAAGATGCAGACTGGATTTATCTGACTGAGGATAAGGTCCAGTGGCATGTTCTTTTGAACACGGTAATGAACCTACTTGTTCTTGATCAGTTGAGTGCCTTTGATGGTTAAAGGAAGACCCTACTCTTCGGAGTTAATTACACGAGAATAGTTACCCTGAACTTTGTTGCAACTTCATCTTGACTGTGGCATCGCCCCGCATCAGACCCGGGAGTCGTCTGCTTGTGAAATGATTCATGTCCCTTCACACTGCTGTCACTCCTTGGCTCATACCTCGGAGGAAGCGCACAGCCTGAACAAGAACCACGGAACGCATTACAGATGTCTTTCAAAACGAGCAGTACAATCTTTGTATGGACACAAAAAAATTATCTCTCTGTGGAGGGAACACAAATCGGAAATGTCTCAAAATATTTGAACCTAAGAAGCATGAAATAAGCAAGCAACTTTGGTCATTATATAACAAGGAATTTCGTGACTAATACAAGGTCGTCTACTGGTGTCACCGATTCCATGGCAGCGGAATCAAACGCCCAGCAGTGATGGTCTGGTCGTGTAGCTGGGATAGGGCCACAGGAGCAGCATATCAAATTTTAGTAGGGATATTTGCTCTTAGGGGCACAGCTTGTGTAACTGTTAGAGGTAATACATAAAGCAGATATTTCACAACTGATGGTCTGATGGCACGCAGATGCACAAATATGTCACCATTTTATGTAGTACCATTTAACTAATCAATGTTAATGTTTACATTAATATACACAGAAGTGAGGAAATGTGCACTGCTTCCACTTGTTCATGACTCTGATGTGTCGCACAACCAGTCATGATATAAGAACAATCCATTTATATTCACCCTATGTGTGTTTCTAAAACTTGATTATGTACTTAGATTAGGCAACAAAACTTGCAGATAACAAACTTGGAGCATATCCCTAAGGTTTAATAGCTCAGTCAGTATAGTTACTAGCTACGGGCTGGATGACCAGGGTTCGATCCCCGGTGGGGCCAGAGGATTTTTCCTCTAGCCTCTGCGTCCAGACCGGCTCTGGGGCCCACCCCGCCTTCTCTACAATGGGTACCGGGGTACTTTCCCGGGGGTAAAGCCGGCCAGGGCGTGATGCTGACCACTCACCCCCATCTAGTGCCGAGGTCAAGGAAGAGAGGAGCTATACCTCCACTCCCCCCAAGCGCCTACATGGCGTATAGTGCGACAAACTTTACTTTTACTTTTTTACCACCAAAGTCTGCCAGTCGACACAATCCTAAGCCAGCTGCATCAATCTCCCACCTTCCATCTCATTGCCATTCTCACTTTTATTTTTTGGTCTTCCATATATCTGTTTTTCAAGATGCATTTATGCCAAAAATTCTGTATGCTTTCCTTGTTTCCCCAATCTTAGCTACGAGTTCAGACATCCATACTTCACTCTACCAAAAGTACTTCATGGCCTCTTCCCAATTTTTTCCAGTTTAAATATTTTATGCATCTCGCGTTAAAAGTTTGTAAACAAGTTACCCCCTCATAGTAAGATAACGCATTTCACATCCACACACAGAATAGGACAAATCTTTGTTTTCTTCACATCTTGATATTTCATACTTCAGAAAAAGGCATAATGAAACAAAAATAAGGTTAAAAATACTGCAGTTGTATGTCGTTTTCTGAAGCTGTCTGTATATTAATGGGCTTACGTGAAGTTTAAAGTTCCTTACTGGCATCTCCGTAGGATTAAAACAGATTAATCAGTACAGTGAAATGCATTAATATTTCATTAGGAATAAACACACGTGCATGAATATACGTACAGCAATCTTCAGACTCACCGCTGTGAAAACCTCAAATCCTACGAAGTAAAATACTTGTTTAAGTCATTATTGAAAAATTACTAGTTCCACTTCTGATGTTTTTGTATTCAAACGCCAGTAGGAAATTCAAACTCCCTGGGCACGAAAAACCCAAGTCATGATTCCTTGTGGCCTAATTGATACCTTTTAATTCACCTGAAGTGTTCTGCTGTTCATAACATTACGCAGATAGATAGACATAAGGCTGAGCCATTTCAGAATGTAGCCTTATTGAAGTGGGGAATGCTGTCAAGAAGCTGAAAAAGTATAAATCGCCTGGTACTGATCAGATTGTCGCAGAATTGATTAAAGCAGGAGGCGAAAAGCTGTTTTCCGAGATACACAAACTTATTTGCTTTATATAGAATGAGGAGGAAATGCCACAGCAGTGGAAGAAATATACTATTGTATTAATTCATAAGACTGACTGTAATAATTATCGAGGAATCTCCCTCTTATCATCTGCTTACAAAATATTATCCAACATTCTGACTCCATATGCCAATGAAATTAAGGGGGATCATCAGTGTGGGTTCACAACTGATCAGATTTCTACATTCACCAGATACTAGAGAAAAAATGGGACAGTATATCAACTATTTATAGACTTCAATAAAGACTAGAATAGAAGTCAAAGAACGTAAAAATGAGATATCACTTACCACACTATCAAAACGTGGCATAATAAAGGCATGAAGATGGTCAAAATGTGGAGTTGTCTGTGAGCTTAATATGTCATGCATGGCACAACGATGTATTTTAGGTCTCCATGTGCAGTTCCACGCGTTCTTAATGTCAGCTTAAACTCCCGAAGAAGACCCACAGTACCCAACGTATACGAGGCTTGGTGGGCCCCAGGGTCGGTCTTCGGGTCATTCCTCTGAAAAGCCACCAGTTTGGGAGGAAGATGTTATCAGTTTCGTCTTGGCTGGCCACATGGACATTAAGTTTTGGTCGTGATAGTTGAAAAAAAAAAATTCTTCGTGCTACATGTGTTGCGTCTATATCCTATCAATTCCCACAAATCAACGACAGATACCTAACCTCAAATTTTCATTCATTACAACCTATACGTATAGGCATACCGAATTCTACCACACAAAGAAATATTTGAACTCGAAACCCTAACCTCCACACTTCCAGATCAATACTAACCCCACATTAACAGTCACGACGCACTTACTGCCAAATTCTATTCTACCACAGCACGACTATTTCAAATAAAACACACACACCTACCATAATCTCACCAAGTCACTTTCGAAATCAATAGCAGATACATAACCTCAAATTTCCAAATACGTAACACACATGGCAGCCATCTTCAAAACATATGCTATGAACCCAAAACACCATCGACCATACTTTCAAGTTATCGTCAGGGATACCTACATCTCGACACATAATTATAATCACGTGATTTTGTTAAAAACTTCACAGCACTATACATTTCAGTTTATCCTACACATGATTTTTGCCAATTACATACACTATGCACCACACTTACCTGTCTGAATACATACAGCCATGAGATACTATTAAATGTTTAACACCACTGTACACCTCACAAATACATAAATACCTCCACCTAGCAAATACACTCCAGAAGTCATTTTCTAGTTCCAACGTAAGAGTAGGAGCCATACCATCATATGTAATGTGGTTTTGTGATCCCTTTGCATAAGTGAAATCTTTACTAACAGTATGAAATGTATTTGTTTAATGTATTGTATTGTTATTGTCCCTCTGTGTGCTATATAGCTGCTACTAATTTTTAACCTTGGCACTAGCCAGGGGTAAGTGGTTAGTGTCACGCCCCGGCCTGCTTTACCACCAGAAAAGGATCCCAGTACCCATTGCATAGGAGGCTGGGTGGGCCCCAGAGCCATTCTAGACACAGAGGCTAGAGGAAAATCTCCTACCTGTCAGGGATTGAACTCGTCACCCAGTCCGTAGCAAGTCACTATACTGACTGAGCTGCTCCATTTATTCCACATTAACTCATCTAACTTATCGATAAATAAAATATAATAAACGTATGTAAATTAGTAGTCTGTGTAATTTCATTCTGTTCATTATTCTACTAGATAATGTTATAAACTTCCTGATCCAGAATAGAATGGAAGAAACTGAATTCTTATGATATTGAAGGCAATGGCCACAAACACAGTGGTTTGCTTCAACAAAAGAAAATAGATAGGAAATCTTCCTACAGGCGAGGGAAAAAATTAGTCAACAAAAATAATCCTAAATTGACAACAAATGTCATATTATTATTATTTATTATCAACTGCAAATGGGTTTATGCCCTGTGGCAGTGGTGGTACAAGACACAAACAAAACAACACACACACCACACTCAGAATGAAACAACTCATAAGATTACAAAACCATAAGGCACAAGTATATAAACACAACATAACCTAAAGTAAAAGTAAAGTAAAGTTTGTCCCACTATACGCCATGTAGGCGTTTGGGGTGAGTGGAGGTATAGCTCCTCTCTTCCTTGACCCCGGCACTAGATGTGGGTGAGTGGTCAGCATCACGCCCCGGCCGGCTTTACCCCCGGGAAAGGACCCCGGTACCCATTGGATAGGAGGCTGGGTGGGCCCCAGAACATAACCTAAAGTAGATAACTTAAAAATTAATACCAACTAGACATAAGACAGTAACAGTAATGAATTACATACGTCATGAACTGATGCACTCACATTTCATCAGGACCTTCTCTTCACCTCATTTATCACTTTTCTAACCATCTTCCTAAAAGTACTTGGTTTACAGGAGAGAGTCCCTAAAAAATCCGCAGATAGCTGGTTCCAGAGTTGGATGTTCCTATTTACAAAGGATTATTTTCCGATATCTTGTCCATTGCTTTCTGCTCCTAATTTTCTGAATATGATCCACCCTGCTCAGATAGTACGGCCTTTGCAATCTGTCACCTATAGCCTTCCATGCCCGTTCTCCCGTGTACGCTTTGAAGAGAGCACATATTCGTGCTATCTTTCTACGCTGTGCCAGGGTTTCCCAGTTCGAATCGCTCCTATGATATGCAAATTTACATGCTTTCTTTTGCACCCGTTCTAACGCATTTATCTGCCCCTCCCTGTACGGATCCCAGCACGCTGCCCCATATTCCAGAATCGGACGCACTAGTGAAGTGTAGGCTAGACTTTTAGTGTTACTATTCCCCTTTTTGAGAACACGCATTGTAAAATGAAGTGCCTTCCAGGCTTTCTTCACCGTATAATTTACTTTATCAGCCCAGCTTAAATCGCTGCTTAAGATAATTCCCAAGTATTTACAACTGCTCACTTCCGGAATTACTTGATCCTGTAACAATTAGTTTGGTGGTTCAGGCTTTATCTCTTCTCGCTTGGCTCAGACATATCATCTTTGTGGTATGTTGATATCACGATGACCCGCTTCGTGTCTTGCCACGCGAGAACTGCCACATCTCCAGAGCGTTGACCACAGTGCTCTCCTTTGTTCAATTTCTTATTCTTCACTGCAGGAGGGACATTTTTCCAGTTAGCACGTAAAGTTCCAACACAGTCTGTTCTTTTGGACTTTATGAACAGAGCCAAATCTGGTGAATTATAAAAATTGTCCATCCACGACCAAGAAGTTGTTCTAAAAGTTTGACTGCAATTGCTGCAGTTTTGTTTGTTTGTTCCTGCAGTCACAAACTGATTCGATAGTTCCATGCCTCGTCCAGTATAAACGAGAAAATACCAAACATAGCCCGAGCTAGACTCGCAGAGTTCATACGTTTTCATGCCAAATTTGGCAGCCTTGAGGGGTATGTATTGTCTGAAGGACAAACGACCTTTCCATAGAGTCAAGGACTCGTCTATCGCAATGTTCTGGTTCGGAAGATACAGATTTTGGAACTTGTTATTTAGGTGCTGAATGACTGGATAAATTTTGAAAAGTTTGGGAGGTCCTTGATATTCATTTTGCTTACTGTTATCTGCAAAATGCATAAATTTGTTTATTACTTCTAGTCTTTCCAGAGGTAAAGTCTCAGAAAAAAACGGAGTGGACAGTAGCCGGTTCTTTGAATAATAAGAAGGGTAGGCTTTTGTACAATGCCCATCGCCATAAAAAGAGCCAAAACCACGTACATTTCGTCCACTGTAACATCTTGCCACTTCCTAATCCTAGAGCGAAATGTGAGAGGATGGGCACTTTTCGATAAATCCTACTTGTATGATTTCATCCTGTCTTTCGTCACTACCATTATCACTCTCACTATCACTAATCACGCAAGTTCCAGGAGTCGCAAACTGTGTATAATCATTGTCAAATACACTATCATCGTCCGAACTATATTCACTTATACTTTCATCTTCTAAAACTTCATTTAAAACTTGTATCTGTTCAAGCTCCATGAGCGCACGACTTGTTGAAGGGCGAGCCATGATAACTATGAGGTCACGCATTTATATTTAGACTGACAGGCACAGCTGGGGGAAATGCAACGTTGCCTCTGCATGAACAGAGAGCTCATTCTTTTCACAACAGACCAGTGAAAACCTCATCGCGCAGGCGTTATTCGTTCCATACTTATGGGCTGTATAAATTAGGCTTACAGCCGGACGCAGGGTATACGTCGAATCGCAGAGGGGAAGTTAAGTGCCAGACGTAGCATCTACATCAAACCACACAATGGGGTTAAATTGCAGAAATGTTCACCGTTATCTGGAACAGCCACTGACTACCCGCACAATGTCAAGGATCATACAGATGTAACCGTCGCTGCTTGCACCAAGACCACAATCAATTCCATGAATGCTACTTTCATTTTTTAAACACTCGAACTCTGCCACATTATCAATATCTGTTAATTAAGATGAGTTTTTCAAGGCAGTGAAAATGTGCATTGTGGTCCTCTAAGCTGCGACTCAGTGCAATACCTTCATACAACGTTCGGCACTTCCACGCGAACAGTGGAGAAAATACATCGCTCCAGAAAACTGGTATCCACCTACGATACCACACGGCAATCCACGACCCAGAAGACCA